GGCAACCCGTCTTGGTTCTGTTACTGAAGTTCCTCTTTCTCTTTTTTGGGTCATGCTGCAAGACCCCGTCACGCCTCTGCTCGGATCCGTATTGGCTACCATATATCATGGAATGGTCATCACCTTCTGGACTAGCATTTGAGTAGTCATTATGGTCCATCTGACCGGTAGCCCTGCGAAGCGCGTCACCAATCTGCTCCTCTGTTTGGCCATGAGGAGTGGTAGCTGAATTTTGCTGTGAGTCGTAACTTCGCTCATCGCGTGCCTGATGAGAATACCAAGACTCTTTGTCTCGGTGCTCTTCGCCATAAGGGCGGTAATCTCTTGAGGGAGTTCCATAAGGCTCTCGTGATTCGTGATGAGGGTGAGCGGATTCCGGTGTGTGAGCATGCACTGCATGCTCACGACGAATTTCAACAGAATCAGACCGCTTTCGCTTGTGAGATCCCTCTACATCAGGATAAGTGGGTGATTGAAACGGTGGTCGATCCGAACTTTGGCTGGGAATTTGATTTGATGAAACTTCTGGTGTAGGTGGAGGCTGAGATGTCGATGTGCTAAGTGCGCGCTCATCCATGGCTGGCTTCTCTATCGTCACAGTAGGCGGATCTGTAGTCCTGGGTGAGCCCCCATTAAGGGCGGTAAAAGTTGACATTATAGACCGACTCGCCGATGGTGCACAGCACAAGGGAACAAGTGAGTCGTAGGGGACGCCGAGAGGCCACACAGCCAAGCCTAGAAGCCTGCAAACTCAGAGCAGTTTCCCCAGAACGTGGAGATGAGGCGCAATTGAAGTCACTCCGGACGTTCCGCAGATGGCCGTGAAAGCCGCGAGGCTGGGGGCTGGACTCGCTCAACAATGTGTAACTGACTGAAGAGCCTGGTGATTAATGATGATGGTGTCGCTGAGATCGGGACAGCTGAAGCAAACTGGGTGGCGCAGTGGCCTTGGAGAAAGCAGCAGGCTCAGACGAACGGGCTCAGTCGAATATCCACCAATACAAGGAAATCGATCAACAGTCAGACAGTCCTTGCGGTTACAATTCTATGATCCAAATTTGAGGCCGTGCTTGGCGGAAAGTAAGGCAATTTGTGATTGGGATTGAATGACGCTGAGATTGGAAGTTAAAGAAGGTGAATCTGGGTAAGGTGCTTGGATCCAGTGGTCGTAGAGAGAAGGCGAGATGAGACAGTAGCCAGACTGATTTCTCTTTCTAATTTGGGCTTGAGACCGAGATTAAACTTGGCAGCTATAACCAAAGTAAAAGAGCGTGAATCAATGGAGATAAGTTAGTGGCCTGAAAGCCTTTTCGACAAGCGCGCTCGCAGAGAAAAGATAGGTAAGGTTGAAGGCGTAGTTGTTCCAAGAGTATCCGTAGCGAAAAGTCGGGTGGTTGAGGTTTGGAAATGACGAGAGTCACGGCGCTTGGGGCGTCGGTAGGTTTTTGACGCGCGATTAACACTTGAAGAGCGTCTGTAATCGGCGAAGAAAAAAAAGACCTGGCTGGGGGTGTTCGTGGCGGGGAGCTCAGATCAGTCAGGCCTGGCCTGGCCTGGCGGGACGGGAGAGGAGAGAGGGAGGGAGGGGGGTCCTTGGAATTAGGTGGAGGGGAGGGGAAGTGTCGAAGTCAAAAAAGACTGAACGATGAAGGGGGAAGGGAAGAGGAAGAGGAAAAGGATGAGAAGGATCGAGATTAGAATGAGATCCAAGATGAAGTGAGGGTGTGGGAACATGGGAAGGATATGATAGAGAGGGAGAAGTGCAGGGTCTCTAGAGTAAGAGGAGCCAGCAACACGAGGAGACGAAAGCTAGAATGGAAGCCAGGCTCAAGTCGAAGTCATGTCAAGTCAAGTCAGGTCAGGTCAAGCTAAAGAGAGACGGCGGCAATGGCAGGGACATTAAACGGTGACTGACAGTCTTGGAAGCATGGCCAGGCAAGCAAGGGACAAACAGACAGAGAGGTTTACTATAGATTCGAGTAACACCAAAACCCCAAACTTGTTTCATCTCGTGTTAGCCACATCGATCGACTAGTTCATCACTAGAGAAGAGGATAACAGGTCGACTCTCTTCAATTGAATTGAGGTTATATGAATTGAAGTGCAGTGAGGTAACTTGGGAGAGCCTTGTGGAGTTTGAGACTCGAAACAGAACTTTCGCTGTAAGAAGAAAAAGCACAACATCTCACACCTCGAATCCTCACACCTCACCCTCACTAATTAGGGGGTGGGTGAATCAGGAGACTAGGGGCCAGGGGGGACCCTTGGACGAGGAAATGGACCCATAAAGAAGAGTGGAGGAGACGTGGGAGGGCAAGCTAAGTTACAGTAGCCGGGGCGCGCGGTTGGTAGTAGTACTGTAGTAGTAGTGTATGTAATTGGATTGTTAGCCTTTTAGTGATGGTGCTGGTGTTTGTATTGTTGCCTCTGGTGCTGCTGGTGATTGATGGACTTTGATGGTGGTCGTATAGCAGGATAGCTACCAACAGCCACTTGAACTAAAAACTATGTACAGTGATGTGCAGTATCCTCCATCCAAGGGCTCATCAGTTGGCTAGGGTGGTCTTTTACCGAATGAGTGGATGGAGCAGGTTTCGATGCGGCTAACATGATCTCTAGTAGGATGAGGATCTATGGTGGACTGAGAGAGGCAGACAGCCAGTGCTTCTCATTTCTAGCCAAGACATCTAAAACTCGTATCTACCAACAAAGCCATTCTTTAAAATTTTAAAAATAAATAAACGCATAAATAAATAAAACCACCAATCATTTATAACTTCTTTGTGTGCTTGAGTTTCCAACCGCAAGAGCACTTCTCCGAAGTCGCGGCGGCGTGGCGCTTCCCACGGCGTCACTCGCCTACTGGGTGCGGTCGGCATCATCGGGTACCTCGTCTATAGGTGAGACCTTAAGTACCTACGGCCCCAAAGGTACCTGCGCCGGAACTGCAGAGTACGGTAAAGTGCGTACCCTGGTCTGTCTCGTTGTGGAGGAATGGCTCTTCTCGCTTTAAAGGGTCTGAGCAACCTCAACCTCATTCTCAACCTCGAATTCAGCCCGATACGCAATGCTATCCCCAATTTTGATCGGGCATATCACGTCACTACCCGGTCGAGGACGATCCTCCTGGCAAATCAATTATTGCCTCCGGCGCCCAGAATTAGATGGGGATTTTTATGATGGATCCAAATGTTGGAAAACCATCTCCAGCCATAACCCTGGATGAGACAGACCCGTACTCTATGTCTGTTCATCCATATCAACCAACACACACAAGTATGTAAAGTCCTGAGTACGGAATCTCTCCGCCCTCAAACACCACCGTGATTTCCGATCAACTATTTGCACTTCCTGTTTCATTCTTCACTGCAACTGGTATTATTTATCGCTTGCGTTGGCGTATCGCCTGCATGTATGCAGAGCGTTCAGCATCCTCAGAGTCCACCCATTCATTTACATCTCATCAACTCAACTCTCACGCCCTGCACTCTTCTTGCGTTATTGATCCTTCTGGCGCGCTCACACTTCACTGGGCCGCGCGACTGGCTGGGCGACGACGGCGCCGCCCTCGACCGCCTAGAGACTAGAGTCGACAAGTGACAAGGGCCGCTAACAGGCTCCTCTACGCTTAGTACGTTGTGCGTTTAGCCAGACACCCTCGGGTGCGGATCAAGGACCGCACCGCACGTTGCTCTGCCGCGGTCTTTCTTCAGGTTGGGCGGCTTTGAAAAGCGCAATATCGTACCTTGAGGATAGCATTAACGCAAGCAATGCCGATTTGTTAAAGCGCACTAGACGAGACAAAGTCAAGAGCATATGGCACAAATGAAAGATGACTGTTATATGTCCTTCGACACCTGAATCTATCGTTCTGAGAATTATCCCCGGTTAGTTATTAGTTGTTGGTCGTTTCAATTATCTGAGTCATCTCGTCTATCTCACGCGCGACAATGATAGCACTCAGAAGACTGTGCCACGAGCATCCATCCACTGCCACTGCACATCAATCACCTAAATTTACGCCTCTTGGCATGACACTCCACCTCGCGATGTGCCTTTCACAAGCTTTTTCTTCCCGCTCCATTATCATCATCACCACCCATAACACTGTCGGCGGCGCCGCCAAACCCCAGAACTTGAGTTCAAAACAAGGAATGCCATCCGCCGCCAGCCGATCTCTGACAGAAACACTTAACCTCACCTCAAAAGGATACGCACGACTCAATAACAGCCCAGTAAGATGCTTCCTACGCGGCAACAGCCCCAAGCGTGTACAGTACCCGCACCAGGATCGCCCTTGGGGTAATACTCCCGGATCCAATGGGCGACCCTTGTATACCTCCAAAGAGATCAACTCCAGAAAGAAATAGGGAGGGATACAAGCCTAGCAAGATACAACTTCGTGTCCGACTCCTGTAATCCTGTAACTGACGCCAACCTAGTCGCGCGACTCTCCAAACAAGCCTAACCGAGCAAACTAGAGCTGCTGGCTGTCCTCCTAAATCCCTCGTGCCCACAGGAGCTGTCCTTTAGCGCATATCATTGATTATCTATTGATGTAATCTCGCTTTCTTGACCAGGTTCTATTGTATGAGATATCTCTATGAGTGCTGTACCTTCGAGTATTGTTCTGGGAAAACGTAGAATTTCTGATGAAGTCATATACAATATGTTAGTGATGTACGCATCTTGTGCCTGGAGATTACACAGAATACATGTAAAAAATTTCTCGTCGTCAAGTTTGGTATGATATTCTTTCTTTCTCTCTATCTTACTAAGTTGGTTCTACTATGCTCTCGCTAAGCTAAATTACCTATCTATAGAACACAAGTTAACCTTTTGCGAATTTCGATGTATACAAACTTCCTACTTACCTGCGTGGTGGTAGGAGGAACTGGCACCTGCTTTTCTCGTACAGTACAGTCTCAAAACGACGACGAACTGCCAACCTAACTGGGTGACACCGCTAATACTCTTGAGGTTAGCCTTGGAAACCTAACCTAACGGGTCCCTTGCCTGCGATACGGCTGGGTGGAGAATACCGGCGCCCCGTTCGCTCTTGCCGCGGCACTGGCAACCACACCAGATGCTACTCCACTTCTCGTCCAACTGAACTTCAGCTTCAATACGGTAACTGTAAAAGTCGAGTTTGTCGCTACATCACGGCTTTCCAGTCTCCTGAATCTGTGGGGGACTTGTTTGTCCTCTCTCACGGCCACTTTCGCCTGGCGAGAGATCAGAGAGGCCTTACACATCGCTGGACTTTGAACAACACCGGCTTCGAAAAGCGAACTGTGTCTCCCGAACCAACCACAAATCTTTATCCTACCATCCACCGCATGTCGGCGGATGTGGTGTCGGGACTGTGCGCCTCCTCGCCCCAATAGCCAATGAGCAGCTTCTATCGGGAACCAGATCAGGGCATTTGCAAGGATGTGGCCGTCCAGGCACCTTAGGCGAGACAGAACCATTAACGCCGCGTCTAACACGCTAAGACCTGTCTCGTGCGGACAATCGCCGCCGTCCGCGGCTGTGCCAGGATTTGGCCCAGTCTTCAATTCACTGGACAGAGTTTGGGCACCCTCAACCTGTGTGAGCCGATTGATGCTTGGGAATGACATGCGCGAGCCAAACAGTTTATTGAGCTTTTCATATGAAATAATCTACTTACTGAGACGCGAAATGACAGCTCGAAGGTACGTATTTATTGTGGGATATGCCAGTATCATATCCCAGCTCGTTCCTGGCATAATTGAGGCTGGTCCTGCATCTAGCTCAAATCACTTCGACAGTTAATACATTTGTGTGGGGAGGCAGGAGGTCACCCTTGTTTGGCGGCCTCATCCAACGCTCATAATCCTATTCGATACTGGGGCCTTTCCTGAATGTCTAAGAGAGTTGCTCAGCCGGATATTGTACGCCGGTGTTCCGTCAGCGATGAGTGGCCACGCAACTTGATTCCAGCCCAACTGAAGCAGCACCAAAAATATCTTAAGCGCAAAAGGGCACCGGCATGCATCCCTCAAAACAGCCCATTCTTGAAAATCATGCTCAGTCTCAGCTGGTGAGCCAGCATGGGCCCTGGACTCTGTCACATTTCAATGTCTGCGTGCCGTTAGTTGAGTTCGAATGCCCGGTCACATTTCACGTCATGGTTAATGGCATAACGCCCCAGACTAGAAGAGTTTGATTGGCTCATCGATTGCCGATGTTCCTATTCTTGTCTTTGTTGCTCTCCGCCAGCAGAACATCATTAACCAACAATGCTAAACTCCCTGCCTGACCTTTCGGTGCATGCATCACATTTCGCTTGGGGCCAGATCTAAATCAGTGCTTGCCACGCCTCAGTCTAGCTGCAGTATCTAACTCACCTATTGTGCGTTTTGACTCCTGTGCCGCCAATGGCTAGAGACGCTATCAGCTATTCCTTGTTCACTGTGATGGAAACAAGCCGGCTCCTACCTGTGATTGGTTCATTATTGAAGACATGGGGTTGGCCCGTCGTGACTAAAATTGTCACAGCAGACAGCTAATGCCCCAAGAACGGAATGATGGAGTTTTAGCGCCTCTATCTCCAAACCCATGGCCAAGCAGGTAATAGCCAGGTCTATATTACTGCACTCTGTGTTCTCGTAGGCACACCGCCGCGTTGGTTGCGACCTCACTCACCACAGCGGTGCTGCAACTTTCGAAAATGAAAGCGCGGGGAAGCGGAGGGCTGATTCTGGCAGCGTATTCCACACACCTACTTCACCCCATTGACAGGGGGTTTGGCAAACCTCCGACAATCAGCAAGGTGTTCACTCCAGGTCACATCTTTTCGCGCAGTTTCTCTCGTGATGAGAAACAGCTTCGAGGTAATTCAGCCAATCTGATCCATGATCAGAGCAGGCTGGTAACAGTCAAATAGCATCTCGACATGCGGAGGTCCAGTGGTTGATCACCACGATAAGGCCAAAGGGCATTCGTTGCATGGCAAAAATAACTCCGTCAGCAGGTCCGAATACTACCCTTGCGGGTAATATGCTCAACCTGTGACTAGAAAGATAGCATTGTGGGCGGCATGTTCTCTTTTTTTATGTAACCAGCACGGAACATAGCGAGCACTAGGGCTGTTCCCGTTGCCAAGGTGGTTCTAAAGGCTGCCGAAGTGTAGTCGACTGCCGAGTTGCATCTTAGTCCATCAACAGTACCCAAGTAGGAGATTACTCATGAGCTCGAGTCAAAATTTAGGAAACTCGACCCTGGCTGTTGGTTTCAACATGTCTCTCCGCTTTGTGCTTATGCGCGTTGTTATTATGGCACAGACATCCTCGAGATTACCGCCGGCGTCCGCGGAAGATGTGCAATTGAAGTAGCTATCATGATCAAGCGTGGCGTGATTGTGTGTACACGTGAAGCCAAGCCGCAAACAGTCCACGGCATACTATGTATGAGATCCCGGAAGACCAACAAGGCGAAGCCAAATTCTTCTTTCACGCAATGCTTTGCCAGCTTTATGGATAGCCTTGAATGGTTTGCTAGCGATGGATTTGTTGGATGGGATGTGGCCTTTACGATGCCTTATCTTGGAATATGCCACTCTGCCACTCTGCCACTCTACCACTATAGTACACCAAATAATGTCTTCTGCGTTGTCCTCCATAGCATCGTGCCGCGGCAGTGCATATGAAGTGATGCTGCTCTCGCCTCATATCCAAATGCATCGATTTATCCTTGTTGGAACGGCATAGAGAAACGAGACAACATTCAGTAGGCTGTGGAGGCTACCCGCACTCCAAGACAACCCTCGGACTAACGCTGATTTTTGTTGGGTCTTCTTGTCTCTTCTCGACTTGATACCTGGGCGTGCTCCAGCGCCATCAGGAGTACAGAGGCACGTACATCAGCCCTATAGTACCTCTGAACTATAGGTATGTTCAAATTGCCTGGGTCTTCCGTACTTATCGGAGACCCTGCTTCCAGGACAGGCTGCACCATGAGGAACCAGCATATTACAGCAGCCAATCATGTGTTATATAGATAGATGCTGAAGACGTCACTCAAAGAGCCTCAACACCATGAAGCAAGTCATGAACCATTTAAGATATCCCGACAAGTGAGCTTCTAATTATACAACACTTGTTTCATCTAAAAATACATCGACAGCGACTTTGTGCTAACTCCACGTGCTCAGTGTCCAATAATGCTTCATACGTCCACAACTAGCCGCCAGCTAAGCGCCGGCCTTGCGTCGCATCCTATCTCACAGTTTTCCAGAATCACCAAGATCTTGGCGCTTAACAAGGGTCAATCTAATCTTAGATCAGATACTTTGATGCGAATCATCATACCTGCAGGTTGGGATGCCATGAGTTGGGTCTATTCTTGGACCATAGACGCCGACCACAACATGCAGCATGCAAGTATAATACTGGGCGTCTGGCCCGAGATGACTTCATCTTTCGCAAGCGCTGGCCCTTGTTCGACGAGGTTCCTGTGATCTAGAGGCCATGCACACTCTCCTTTTCAGGGGGCACACCCCGTCATCATCATCATCTACTTGTCTCCGGCGCCAAAGAACCAGGTTGCAGAGGAGCGGCAGCACTATCTCGGTCGATCTGAGCCACTCGATTGGTGCTCCAGGGCCCGTTTAGGCAAGTCGAGGGTCGACGGCAAGCAAATCGTATCTAAGTCATGCGGGCCCGAGGCATTAGATGGCCTACACGCCCTGGTCGTTCATGTATCGTATCTGCTCTAGGGGTCATCTTTTACCAGGGACACGGGTCGCTTTCCAGGGAGCTGGAGTTATAATTATAGGAGCAGGTTGCTAAATTAGGATGCAGCCTCACTGTAGCCGCCGATGAGATGCATGTTCTTCAACACGACCTCATTCCTACTGTTTATCATGTTTTCCTAGCGCCCATTGCATCCCTCGCAGTATGCTATAATGGCGCGGATCCCTGGCCGTTTCAAGTCCGTCCTTTGTAGGAGCACTTGTTTGCAAACACAATGTGCTGATGCAGTATCATTCCTCCCCCACGTGGTCGAGACGCCCATATGCCTACACCCCAGGTCCTTCCTTAAAAGAGGCACGTCTGGACTATGGGTTATGCAATGTCTTGAACAGTCACACAGCTTAGCTCCACAGGCGGCGGTCCACCGTGACAAAGATATGCTGAAGGGATGGTTTGTATGACGTCCTGGCCTCTAGACCTCTCCCTTCTCAGGTACACATCCAAAATTAGGTACAACCCTGTTTCGCCGGAGCCCTTGTCCATGGTTTGACATATCTCGAACCAACAACTGCCGGCCCTGGCAGATCTACCCATCAGGTCGGTGCAGAGATGCCTGTGTCCCTGCAAGGACGTTACCTGCAGCAGGTCGCGTGCAGCAAGTCACTGGCGCGTAGAGTCATGTACCGTGGTACTTCGAGGATACATGTACATTGCCCTACTTCTTCTGTCTTTTATTGCTCTTGTCGCTGACACTACTCAGAACGCTGGCACTTCTCTTATGCGCGGCACCGCTGCTACCAGGACGCCCGTTCTTGTCGATTTCATTGAGCAGTTCTGTTTCCTTGCTCGAGGCGTCCGAGGCCTCAATAGTAGGGGCTGTCATTTCTGAGATATCCTTGCTTGTATCTCCAGGTGCAGATGTGACGTCGCCATCTACTTTCCCGGCGGTCGCTCCAGTAGCGGCTCCTGCCTCTGAGTCGTTGCCGGTCCCTGGGTCCTGGTCTGTCTTGTCCTTTTCGACTGTAGACTCAGATTCAGGGGGGGTCATAGCCTTTTCCCGTTCTGCTTTTTTGGCCTGCTCAACTTTGATCTCAGCATCAAGCTTGTCCGATACCTTGCGGGCATCAAGCAGACTATTGACAGCCGCAAGGAGCTGTTCGTACTGATGTGTCGTAGCCGCGGTGGGCATGGCAAGTTTGTTAGGAACATCCAGTTCGTTGAGAACATTTGTGATGCGGTTCTGTTGTTGATTAGACTTGTGTGAGAACAGCTTATTGATTCTCTCGGTTCGGAATGTCGGTCCAGAGCCCAATCGATCATGATGTGTCACACCGTACAGTAGCTCCTCCTGTGTTGAGAGCTTACGGCGCTCCTGTTGTTGCTGTTGCTGGCCCTTTTTGTTGTTCGAAGCTGTCGGTGTAGCGGCAGGTCCAGTAGAATCACGAGGCCCCGTGGACGCAGCTGTGCTTTCCCGCCTCCCAGCTTCTTGCGCCGCAGCGGCAGCGGTAGCGGCCGAAGATGCAGCAGCCGCTGTCTGCGGTGGTGCGGTGCCAGAAGGGCTGGTACCATCGCCAGGCATCAACGACTTGCGCTTCTTGGACTTGTCGGCGGTCATTAGGTTCTGAAGGAGGTTCTGCAAGCCAGCAGAAGATTTGAAGGCATTTATGTCAGTGTCCGCTCGAGGATAATCGAGGCGATTATACAACTCGCGACGCTCTTCGTTGAAACGCTCACTACGTGCCAGAATGCGCTTAATTTCCAGCAATAGCGATTCCTCTTCACGGGCTTCTTCGCGTGACCGGGTCAAGGCGTTGAGCGCAAACTCCTTTCTTAATTTCTCTTGCTGCGGATTGAAATGCGCCATGAGTTCATGGAGAGAGAATTCCGGCTGCGTCATGTACTGCACAGGCTTTTGCGCTGCCATCATCTTGGAAGCAACTTCGTAGTATCTTGCCTTGAGGTCTTCCAGAGAACGCGGCCGTGTTGCTGGAACGATGGCCTTGCTCTCATCGCCGTCGGCATCAGCCTCTCCGTTCGTCGCGGGAGGGTTCCATTCGTAGCGATCCCAGATCAGAGGCCATCGAAGGTCAAAGTCACGCGCCAACTCGAGCAAATAATCCGTTTCCTCCTTGGTCCAGTCATTGTGTTGTAATGATTGCTGGTACTGATCTTCGCTATACTGCGGGACTGAGACCTGCACGTTGTATTTTGCAAACGCAGAGTTCTCCGTTCCATCTCTGAGTAGTTGTGGCTGTTCTCCTTGACTCGTTTGTTCTGGTGATACGTCACTATCATCTTGCTTCTCATCCTTCCTCCTCCAGTGCCGCAAAGTAAACTCTGAATCGGTACGCGCCGAATTTTTGAAAGATCGCATCTCCCATCTCGCTGCAGGTTTGCGACTTGCAAAGCGTCGCTTCTTGAAATGTGTAGCTTCAGGGACAATAGCAATGGGGTTGTCGCCCCCCAGATTGTGTACCTCACGAGCCAAACCCTTCAAGTTTGGCCTTGGTGCAGCAATCTTTTGCTTCTTGCTCGGCCTCAGGCCTGATACGCCATCACCCAGGTTTAGCACATCGCGAACGTCGGAAGAGGTCATCGTGGAGGTTTGTCTTGGACGTAGGTTGTCGAAAAGCAAGAAGGACAAGTGTAACTGATCCAATAATCCGTTAAATTCGAGCTTCCATCACCAATGTCATCAAATTCAAGCACGGGGTCCACTCCTAACAATTATTCATCAGTCCGTATTTCGTTTATTGATGCTCTTCGTTGAGATCGAACCGCTGATGCTCGTTGACGCGTCTGAAAATTTGGGGTTGACTTGAATTAGTTCGGAGCACGGAGTAACTACTGGGGATTACATGGTAGCAAGCGCCATCTTTGCCTGGGACGGGAATCTGGAACGGGCTGAGTTATCGGCACGTGACAGTGCTAGATCACCCCTGGCCCAAAGCCGATCATTGAACGTGGCAGCTTCGCGGGCGCCAACGTCGAAGCCAGAGCCAAAGGGGGAACCAATTACAACAACTTCAAGCATTGGACTTTGTCACATTATCAGATCGTTCTTTGTTCCCATCAACGACGCTTTCCTTCAAGTGCCTACCTATCAACGACCCGTGCAATTCCTCAAGGACATCAGTGCTGTCGCTGTCGCCATCATGAAATTCCTACTTCCTCTCCTGTCGCTCAGCGCCGCTGCGAATGCGCTGCACTTCTTCATCGACGGCACAACCCCCAGATGTTTCTACGAGGAGTTGCCCAAGGATACACTCGTCGTTGGACATTACACTGCTGAGGAGTGGGATGACCGAGTATCAGCTTGGGTAAAGCATGACGGTATCAGCATCTACATCAACGTCGACGTATGTTTTTCATGGACAGCTGTCCACAAGCATATTGCACTGTCTCTCGGGCTTTTACTAAGAATAGGTAACAGGAAATATTCGATAACGATCACCGTGTCGTTTCTCAGCGCGGCGCTGCTTCTGGCCGCTTTACCTTCTCCGCCGCTGATGCTGGCGACCACAAGATCTGCTTCACCCCTTCGTCCAGCTCTGGCCGCACTTCGTGGCTCTCCGCCAAGAACCCCAATGGCGGCATCAAGTTGACTCTCGACTTGGTCATTGGTGAGACCAACCAAATCGAGAGCAGCGATAAGGGAAAGATCCAGGATATCACATCACGTGTCAAGGACCTCAACGCTCGTCTTGCTGATATCCGCAGAGAACAAGTATTCCAGCGTGTATGTGCCACCGTAAACATGTCTTTTTATGAGACCAGAAAGCTGACTATGTGTGCACAGGAACGAGAGGCCGAGTTCAGAGATCAATCCGAGTCTACAAACGCCCGTGTCATTCGATGGATCATTATCCAGCTCATCGTGCTTGGCATCACCTGCACCTGGCAGCTTTCGCACCTTCGGTCATTCTTCATCAAGCAGAAGCTCACCTAGAGTGATTGGTCGATCATTTTTTGTTTGCGAGTTGAATCTCGGACTTCAGGAGTCCAGAAACAGTCAATATGTCGTTTATTGGGTTGGGTGTCGATGGATTGCGTACCGGAAAAGGATAAAAGAGATCGTTGGGCTTTCAAGCTGCGGCGGGAGGTCATCATTCAATGATGATGACCGTGTAATGTTACATGCACATGATGATGTTTACTATATCGTTTACCTAAATGCATACTCAAAAGGGTGGCTAAGGATTGTGATAAATATGGCGACGCCTTTTTCTTTTCCCATTATAAAATTGCCAAAAGAACGAGAACTCCCTATAGTGCTCTATCTTCGTTTCACAACAAATCACCAAGCCTGTAAACCTCAAACTCATCCCCACGCTAGCTGATCTCTCCATCTACACCAGGCAAGACTGAGTGCCATCAGGCACACCGGCAATGGCTTTCGTCTCGTGTGCGATTACACAAAGTTATTATGGACAGCGTCATAAGAAAAAAGAGAAGAAACAACCCAAACAAACCCAAAAATGCTGCCCTGCACCGTCTCCTTGCGCCTTGCTGCGCTGCGCTGAAGATTAAACGTGGTTTTAGTATATTTCGTAATGGTTTGTCAGACAAGAGAAAGGAGTGCCCTCCGCCGTAGTCCCAAACGAGATCTGCTTCCGCTCCAAGGGGTGTCATGCAAGTATATCGACTGCCAAGAACTGTTCGTAGGCGGCCAAGGGCTCTATAATGCCGAGATGATGGGTTCGTGTTCGAAAACGGAGCGCTTCTGAAGGTGACCAAGATGCATGGGCGAAAGACCTAGACTTCGTCTGTGACTCGAACCAACTCGATCGAGGTGAGCTCTACTGTGCCTATGCATCCACCACCTCATCCATCTATAAACTAGACTGAGCTTGAATTGGGCAATTCAACCATCAACCGCGACCCGGTTCTAAATAAATTGGGTAATCCTCTTGAACCGGAGTCTGTCGACGTAATACAGGTCCTGATGCACAACGCCGCAGCAATGAAGAAACAAAGAAAATTCTTAGCTGTATACCAGAATAGGCTTACCCACAGCATAGGGTCTTCATCAGCTTCTGGAAGCCACTGGGCTGAGGATTGGCCTGTTGGCCACTAGCCTGGGCGGTCTGAGTCGCCTGGCCTTGCTGGGACGTCCTCGGCTGCTGAGGCAGGTTCTGGGCACTGTTCTGGAACTGAGCCTGGGTCGAGCCAGTGGGCGTGGCCATGTCCCGAAGACCCCCAACCCCGCTCCCCCTCTGCGCTGACAAGGCGCCGGGGGCGCTTGGCCGATCTCTCTGCTTGCCCATCTGCTTGATCGGAGACGGAGGAGGGGGTTGCGCGGCGTTTAAACGGCCGACAGTAAGGTTTTGTGCTTGTTGGTGAGAGGTGGTATTCCCGGGACGGTGGCCGCTGTGCAGCTCCATCTGAGAGGGGCCAGGCCGCACATTGGGGTTGTGGAGGTACGCGCCGCTGTGGTTCTTCGAATCCCATCCCTTTCCCGAATCCTTAGAAATTTTCATCCAGTCATACTCGCCATCCTCAACCTCGCCAGTGTTCTTAAGAGCCTGTGTGAAGAGCTCCCGGAGATAATCGTAGTCAGGAGTATCCTCAAAGCCAAGATTTCGGACATACGTCAAATATTTAGAGAATTCCTCAGGGAAACCCTCACAGAGATCCTTGATAGCAGTTGTCTGCTTCTTCTCACCAATCTTCTCATATTTCTGCTTGTTGGTGGCCGCCTTCAATCCCTGCCAAGGAAGACCACCTCGAAGAAAGTACAAGAAGACATGACCAAGAGCTTCGAGATCGTCTCGGCGGGACTGCTCACGGCCAAGATGGGTGTTGATACTCATGTATCGTGCAGTTCCAGAAAGGGACTTTCGCTCGCGGTATGGGATATGTTGCTTCGTCTTCGGGTCACGGTACTGCTTGGCCATGCCGAAGTCAACCACATGAATCACGCTAGAAGCTTTGGTGCCAGGGCGGCCAATGAGGAAGTTGTCGGGCTTGATATCGCGGTAAATGAGATTCTTCTCGTGAATGGTCTGAACCCTCGAAAGCATTTGCTTGGCAACCATGACAACCGTCTTGATGGAGAACCTTCGGCCACAGTGATCAAAAAGATCCTCAAGGGAAGGACCGAGTAAGTCGATCACGAGAATATTGTGGAGACCCTCCTGGCCGAAGTAGTAAACATTTGGAATACCGGCTGAATCTGTATTAGCACATGCGAACTGCTTTGTTTTGGAACGGGTCTTCTCACGGCAGCCCACAAGGATCTTATAAGTCCGGTACTCATCTCGCAGTTGGGGGGCATCACTCTTGCGAGGTTCCTAATGCAATGTCAGAAAATCCAACACCATGGCAGCGCAGAAACGCCGGGCTACTGCTGTACTAACAAACTTGATAGCGACTTGTTGATTGTTGAGTAAATTGGTGCCTTCAAAAATAACACCAAAAGATCCCTCTCCAATTTTCTTGCCAACTCGGTAGTGAACACCGACCACGTTGGATGATGACGAAGCCATTTAGGCGGCGAAGGCAGTCAGGGGACCACCGTTGCAAATATATCGAGACTGATGCAGGAGGGTCGGTCGTTTGGATAAGGGCGTAACTCGTGCTGAATGTCGAAACTGGTGCAATAAAACGATGCCTAAGAAGGGGCGCGACGCAGGAGTTAGTTTTGATGCAACTGAATGATGGCGATGCAGCATGCACGCGAGTGAATGAAGAAGGAAAAGAAGCTGAAGCTGTGGCGCTGCTCGCGGTTGGGTGACTGAAGGATGAGGCGATGAATTGACCAAGTTGGGCCGTCCTGTTGGCATGGTACCGGGATGTTGATTGGAGGCGCGGTAAAATAGACACCTCCAGTCCAAGGGCACAGCCGCCAGCCGTAGTAGAACCCTCCTAAAGGCGCCGCCGAGAAGATCCTTTTAGACGCAATGTATAAGAAATGAGGCCGGTGAAGCGTTGCATACTCTGTAAGTATGCTGAAAGAGTTGGAATGCAACGGTTTGGCCAGAAAGAATTGGCAAAGTGCTGCAACCAACCCGATATCCACGGCTCGGGAGCTGTCTCCCTGTCGGAGGGACCACAACAACGCTGAACAGACCACCTCCAGTAAATCGAAGTCAAAATCAAATTGACTCACCTCAATTAAAAGAAGAGATGCCAAAAAAGAATAGAACCAGGCAGCTCAGAGGCGATCGATTCCAGTCGAAAGGAAAGGCGGTCGAAGGGGAAAGCCCCAAGAGAGATCGAAGGCGATGTCGGTAACGTTGATGGGGAGATCAAGTTTGAGAAAGGGGAAGAGAAGCAAGAGATGGGACTGGGACGGGGAGAGAGTAGAAGCACCTGCCCCCAGGCCCCAAGCGCGGACCTGACCTGACCTGAGCCAACGAGAAGCCCAGGCCATCCAATCCAACGCCAGGCCGGGCTAGCCCAGGCACCTCACCTCAAAGAAATCAGCGACAACTCCACTGCTAGGGAGCCCCCGGCCCCCAGCCACAGGCATGGAAACGCTACAGAAACAAGCGAAGGGGCCTGAAAGCATTCGCCAACCAGGGAGTCGACAATCAATTTGGCTGCCAGCCCCGACTTCCAGAGGGTCTAGGCCAGACCAAGACCAGCCGGATTCAGTAGGTAAGGAGTGTCCGTTGTTTAAGGCTCAAGGTTCAGCACTGTGAACATCGTCTGGGCTCCAGCCCATATAAAAGTCAAGGATCATAGAGTAGAATATATACATAGGTAGGTATTATCCTTAAACTCTTTAACAGTAGGTACTGAATAACACTGTGCATTGCGGCTTGATTTGGGAGTTGTCTAAAGCAACTAACCCTTCCCGTGAGTGTCTCTTGCAGCTCTAGTTCCCTTCCCTTGACTCAATGGTATTGTTTCGCTCCCAAGCAAGGAAAAGCAACGATAGTCGCATCCAATCCTACCTCGAGTCGCAGGTCAAGAGACAATAGGCATGAAAAGTCTATTGCCAGCGGCGCCTTGAAGACATCACCTGCACAATGCCAATGGGAATGGCACGCAGCCGTCGACGTCAAGATGTCGGTGAGTAGTTGTTCAAGCTCATGCGTCTTCACTTCTGAAGCAGATGCTTCAATGAGGCCTTGATAGAGATGTCTTGAGGACTGATCACCGAATCATTTACACCGTGCGCTCTTGGAACAGCAAAGGCCTTGCGGTGTGTATCATCACGACATTCGTCCCGTACAACTCCCTACCGCTCCGGGCGTCCGTCTGTGCTCTTGCAGGAGAATGAATGAAAGGACTTGACTCGGCGCTGGCCACTAGACAGTGGAGTACTCGGGATGCCCCAACGGCAGAGCCGGGTACAAAACTCTACCTTGGCCCAAGGGCAATTTCCCAGCCTCGGGTCAAGTACTGCCTGGTACCTTGCTTTAACATTGGCCATCTGGTCTGTGATTTTATCGACATGGGTTTGGATGTTGGGATTCAAGGTTCTTGTCGGCGAGAAACTGCTTCTGGCCTTTGTCACTCAAGACCCTGCGGCCGGTCAATAAACGAAGTCCAATTTCGACATAGCAAATAGATCGACGGCTTGTGCATGGGGAGCTTGTGCATCCTTGTGTATGCGTACATATGGACATGTGCTTCTACGTGTGTGCTTGGCACTATTTCGTGTATGTACAACACAAGGCAATACTCCTCGTTGCATCGCATCAACAAAATGCCGCGCTTATACTGACCGCAAGATCCGACATCCTCGACTATGTGCCTAGGTAGTGGATATCAAGGTTCAAGCTTCGGAATCGGTCGTTCGTTTGAGATTCTTCTCTCCTGCTGTTACAGTCCAGTCTAGCGATTCATTCGACCGTTCTCCCTGCCAAAGGGTATTGTTAGTGTACATTTTAAAGAAAAGCATGTATCCATGCTGGGACGCAACAAACCACACCAAGAGTTCAGACGTTGCTAGCGCCCGTCCATCACTAGACTGACCCATGGCACTTGGCTCATGGTGGAATAGTTCCGTTGCCCATCCATCCGGTCCAAATTCCAATCCTTATTTCCAGTCTTCTTTTGCCTCACTTTATTTATCGTATACGAAGCAATAGATTTTGTATACAATGTATTTCTGGGGCATTCTGCAGTAGATTGGTGCTCTGGGCTTTGTGTCCCCGTCCTACCAAGTGATTCTCGAGCAAGCCCGTCACAACCGTGAGATTAAATACCTACTAACCTATCCAATAAGTCACCACAAAATACGGATACATAATGCAGGTTTGCTAAGCTACCCCAGTCCCAGTAGAGCAACTGGCCCAGAAGAGAGATATCTTGACCAGGGGTCCCCGCTAGAAGCGGCTCTAATTCTTCCCTTGTTATGCCCTGTCGACCTGTCCTCGTCAACTCGGATCTCAACATAATTACATCCACATCCCTTTTCTCCTGTGTTGTGTGTCCCTTGTTGCGCTATCGAGCTGTTGTCTTCTGTCAGCTGTATCTGTACTCCGTAATTTTTCAATAATTGCAGGTTCCTTACGAGTCAACACTCGCCACAGTTGCCAGCACACAATCGCTGCACGCGTAAATTTTCGCCACACCCTTGGGCGCCTGGGCGCTCAGTCGAGTGAATTATGTTCTAGTCACAACTGCTTTACGTGAAACCTCAGTGGCAATGCCCTCTTCGTCGCCTTGACTTGTGATTTCAACTAACCAAATACTCTTGCTATGTTTGGGCAGATGGCATGCTACATCGTAACATGGCCAGTTTGCCAGCTTGCGGACCGCAACATGAACCACATCGTGTTACGTGCTTGAAGCTGGGTTCGCCTCTTGAGGCCGTTGCCTGGTCAGTGTCACGACGTCAGTAAGTACTTCATGCCTATCTACTGATGTTTGAATGCCAAACTTGGTCCTAGGTACTCTGTGTGGCATTGGCATTCCACACATAATGCAGAATCTGGGTTTTGAAATTGAGACTCTCGTCATATGTGATGTTCCCTGTTTCCAGCGATCTAGTTATTATGATCCTCTCTCTGCGAGAAACAGGCGTGTCACTCGTCACTCGGAGATTTGGTTTCCTCTTCCCTGCGAAATCTCCGAAATGCCAGCCTAGCGCTAACAAGACATGTATAAATTCGGTTTGATCCAATTAGAAGCTAGATGTTCACTCTCGTTCGTACTTCCAGCTCAAGATCAGCTAATGACAATCTCGAACATGGTAAATTCATTCATTCTTGCCAGTATAAATCTTTATTTGCCTGATTTCCGTGGTCGCCTTAGGTGTGCTCGAGGCATTCGTATGCCATAAACTGTATCGTCTGTCTCATCGACCACTGCCATCGAGTCAAAGCATGACCATGGATGTGACCTCGGTTCGTGGTATTGCCGAGTCAATCCATGAAGTTTAGTGGGAGCTCTTAACTTGTCGTGTAAGAGCTGGGTTTCACGAAATAACATTTGGTCTGGCATCAGGTTCTAGACCACGTATTTCGGATGTAATAAACTCCGTTCTATGCCAATGCCCAAGCCACTGGGTAAGTTCTCGGCTACCCATACATTAGTAGCAGAGGATGTCTATTGCCGTCGTGATAATGGCAGGTATTTTGGTGGTACAGGGTAACTAGGGTGAGCACTGGTTAATTGGCATGAGATAACCGCGACGCCTAACGTTATAAGAAGCTAATATATGTATTGTTAAGAGGATGAGATCATGCATCAGCGGTCTTAATTGTTGAGGAAATGCTGTGTGTGTTGTTTGTTGTTACATGCTTCGAGGTATTGGCTCTAACTCTATGGAATCGAGTTCATAATCAACGATCAAAAAGAACCCATACCTAGTGAAAGATACTCTGCGTGAGACAACTTTCAGAAATAGGAAGGACACTCGGCAGTAATTATCGGTCTACCTCAAAGGGTTGTAGCTTGATTACTGATGACATGACAAAAAGCTCTAAATCCCGCCAAAGACAAGGTGAGCTTGCACTGACACAGAAAACTGCAGCACTATCACTGTATACCACAACCAGCCCTTCCCTTTAGAGCCTAACTATCGAGTCATGGTCACGGCAATGGCTAAGCCAGAAGACACCCCCGAGATGGAGTATCGCTTCCTGGGCCGCTCAGGTCTTCAGGTGTCTGCAATCTCTCTCGGAGGATGGCTGACACACGGTGGCCACATCGATAAAGGTTAGTATTCAAAGGGACAGACTCAAGGAGGTATTGACTGACTAGCTCTACAGAACGCACCTTTGAATGCATGAAGGCCGCCTATGACTGCGGTGTCAACTTCTTTGACTGTGCCGAAGAATACTCCAATGGTGAATCCGAGATTGTCATGGGCGAGGCTATCAAGAAGTTCGATTGGAAACGAAATGATCTGGTAGTCTCTACCAAGGTAACCCGCCATACTTGTGCTACAGATGCACGGTTCATCATGTAACGATGCTAAGAAATCCTATATAGCTCTACTGGGGAGGAGCCTTTGGAGACAAACCGGTCAACAACAAGGGACTTTCGAGAAAGCACATTGTCGAGGGGATTAACGGTGCTCTCAAGCGGTTGGATCTCGAGTATGTCGATCTCATATACGCGCACAGGCCTGATCGTCGAACGCCCATGGAAGAGATCGTTCGTGCGTTCAATCACATTATAGATCAAGGACAGGTAAACCTGACCACTTCACCTGTGGTGACTGTATCTCGCGGACTGACTTAGCTGACAGACGTTCTACTGGGGAACTTCGATGTGGAATGCCGATGAGATCGCACAGGCGTGGCGATATGCAGACAAACTGGGTCTGATAGGCCCAATTATGGAGCAACCCGCTTATAACATGCTGGATCGAGTCAAGGTAGAGCAGGAATATGCCCACTTGTATCGTGAAGTTGGCCTCGGTCTGACTGTATTCTCACCTATGCGTCAAGGTATCCTGTCTGGAAAATACAGTGACGGCATTCCTGGTGACTCTCGCTTCGCCAACGAAGAGATCAAGTGGGTCAATGGTTTCTGGAAGCAAACAGGGAAAGATACCTGGATGGCTATTATTGAGCAGGTCAACCAACTGAAGCCTATTGCGGACAGACTTGGTCTCAAACAGAGTCAACTCGCCTTAGCCTGGGTACTAAGCAATAAGAATGTCAGCTCTGCTATAACGGGTGCTAGCAGTCCTAAGCAGGTGTATGAGAACGTCAGAGCTGTGGCTGTTGTCAAAAAGTTGACACCGGAGATTTTGAAGGAGATTGATATGATTCTCAACAACAAACCACCTGAGGTTGTGGAGCGGTATTAGATAACTCGACTTGGCCATGGCGGTAATACACGCGATGGCCGTACTCACAAATTGGAACATATTATTGCTCATAAGAAATGGTTAAATCTCGGCCGAGTCTATCTTTGTTTGTATGTATGTATGTACGTAACGGCAAAGAGATCGAACAATACCAACTCACGGGATATGACAAATCAGCGTCAGCCGAGGTTACATCTCGATTCTCTGCTGAGGATGAGTTGTAGCTGGAACCCTCCGTGTACATAACCCAATTGTCACCGAATCTGAAAGCTCGAGTTTACATCACTGTATCGGATTGTCGAAATGAGCTCTTCACAGCTTCTCAACCGTTTCCCTTGGGCGAAGAGTCCCCTCATCAGCAATGCGCCCATGCTCGGCATTGCTACGCCTCTCATGGCGGCTGAGGTTACAAGAGCTGGGGGCCTTGGTATTCTCACTCCAAAATACGGGATTCATACCATTCTAAGCTAGCCTGACATTCGACGACAGGATTTCTCCCCTCGCTGGCATACATTGAACCAAACTCGGAGCACATCAATAGACTTATTGGCCATTTTGATGAAGCCCGCGAACTTCTCGAAGCCGATCAGCCCTCTGATGGGCCACTCCGTGTCGGGGCTAGCTTCATAACAAGTCATAGCTCCTTGAGCTACTTTGAGGAGACGGCTCTGCCTCTTATAGCCAAGTATCGTCCTGCGGCAATATGGCTGTTTGCTCCAGATGGAGACCTTAGGCCTCATAGCAAGATAATCCCCAGCCTCAAAGCTCTGGGTCATCCCCCGATTGTGTTTGTCCAGGTCGGCAATGTTGCTGCAGCGCGAGAGGCAGTACAAGACGGTGCGGATGTGCTCGTGACTCAGGGTGTAGATGCTGGAGGCCACCAGTTTCGTCAAGGGTCCGGCATTGTGAGCTTGGTACCTGAAGTTAGAGATATGCTGGATAGAGAGTTTCCTGACCGACCAATAAGCATTGTGGCTGCAGGAGGTATTGCAGATGGGCGAGGTGTTGCAGGAGCATTGGCTTTGGGTGAGTACCATTAGTTAAAACCATGGTTTACAGAGACAGACTGATGAGATATAGGTGCCGAGGGTGTTGTTATGGGGACAAAAGTAAGTGAGAGCTGAGCCGGTTCGTGTTGCCTATCAGGCTAATTTGCAGTTCACTGTTGCGCCCGAATCAAACTATCCTGAGATACGAAAGAAGAAAGTCCTTGAGGCTGTGGATGGTGGCGTGTCAACTTTTAAGTATGGTTACGCTCTGACCCAGGGAATTAGCCTATGGTTGACATGATTCAGGTCCACGTTCAATGACAGAATAGTCAACAGTCCTCTTTGGGGGCCCCTCTACGACGGACGTGCTATTGTTGGCCCTGTCCATGAGAAGTTCCTCGCGGGAGCAAGCCTGGAAGAATGTCAACGGAGCCTCAAAGAAGATTACTCAGAGGAGGAGGCTCGTTATCTCGTTAATACCTGGGCGTGAGTAGTCTGTGCCTTGCAAAGTGTGTTTAAACTAAGATGAGCAGGGGAACTGGTGTTGGGCTTATCCATAAGGTCCAGCCTACAGGAGAGATTGTTCGTGAAGTACGCGAACAGGCTCGGCGTGAGCTTCAAAGAGCGGCCGGTTTCGTTTAGTACAGGGACTTGGAAGGGGATCTTTGCCACAAGACAATTGAGGACATATGGGTTGTCTCAGTGTATAAAATGATAAATTGACACTGACGCAAATACTCCTCTATACGTTCGCATCCAGGTGGTACGGAGCGATTAGTGACAAGCAAGTTGATATCATACAAAAAGAAATAAAAATGCTATCCGGACGTCAGAAAAGCACGCTTCATCTACAGCTTGGCCTTGTCCTGGGCTTTCTTAAGCACAGGGTCAAGCTTGGTCGCCTTCATAACGTTGCCCTTAATCTTGAGCTTGCCGCCCATGAAGAGACGCTGAGCGTTGGCCTTGCCAGCGACGAGCTTGCCAAAGTTCTCCTCGGAGAGGATGAGTGTGACTGGAGGCATCTAGGTCAGTCATGTATGTTCCGAGTGCACCGGAGCGCGCCAGAATCGCGACGTACCATCAGGCTTTGCGCCGGTGCCAGTTCCGACCTTGCCGGTTTCCTTGAGGTCGATGTGCCAGCTGGCCTCATCACCGCTCGCGTTCTTGAGGGTGAAGGCGTAGACGCCGTTGCCCTGCTTGATGGCATCCTTGCGATCGGCATCGCTGGCGTTGATAGCCGCTTGGATGGCGTCGAAGGCGGCTGAGGCGGGGAACTTGTCTGTGGCTGGCAGTCAGTTTCCCGTGGTCTTCGAGGCGACGAGCTGGGGAAGATGGAGCAGCTTGTGTTCCCGGAACGCTGATCTTGATGGGGTGGCTTGTTCTGACGTACCGTTCTTGAGAGACATGGCTGCGATTAAAGGTTTTGGATAGATTTACAGGAGATTGCCGTATGGAAAGAGATAGAGAAAACTAGTGGCCAGGTAAGAAAAACGAGGAAATCGTGGGGGACTCGACCGAGGTTTTTAAACGCGACAGATAGTCGTGGATGGATTGAAGTTTGCAAAGAATCTGGGGGCGCGCTGCAACGTTAAGTGATATTGCATGTGATGTGAACCTCGGCGGATCTGCCATGAGATCATCCACATGTCTTCTCCCCCACAAACCGCTTCACACAATCGGTTTAGACTCCACGCGGGGGTAGCTCCGAAACACTCAATGGCCGAGTCGGTCATCGGCAGAAGGTGACCACGTGCTTTTCTCCAATTCAATCCCATCCAAGCCATTGATCAGCCCTGTTATGACCGATCAACTCGGAACCTAGACTCTATCTGTGGCTCAAATACGTGCGTGTGGTTATGAGGCTGACATGAGCGGAATCCAAACTCAGCTTATCATGACATGCCTTTCAGAATGATACTTGAGGTCCATATACTACATACAGATCTATATAGTCCTTTCCCCTAGACTATACGCTATGGGCGTATTGCCGACTTGCCTACTACCCCATCAGCTAAGACACTGTCAGCGGTTTCAAACCAAGTCGTTCGTTCGTTCCAAACAGCTGGGACCAGTCACTCAAGAGTGTGTGATTGAGTGGTATATATTCACACGCGAGAACACCAGTTGTCTGCTCACTTTTGTCTTCTGTATTGTTCCTAACTTCATATGCTACATTACATCTTATAGTTGCCATTCAGGCACGCCAAAATCTCTATGCTGAGGCCAATTTTCTGGTCTGGTTCCAGTGTTAGTCGTGCTTAGTGAAGACGGACGCACCCTCATGAGATGCACATACCTGGTCAGGAACAACACTGCCATACGTCGTCTCCTTTCATCGATATCGTCAGAGGCTGTCAAACGCAGCCAGTCGCCGAGCCACCCCCGCAACTCAGTCTCGCTTTTCCCAAGTGTGTCAATGCCTCGTTCTGCGCATGCAATTCTGAGTTCCTCGTAGTGCAGTCCCATGGGTCCACCATCCTCGACGATATTTCTGTCGTCACCCTCTAGATACGCCATACGATATCGTCCCTTGGCCTGCCACATGCCTGGTGGTAGGAAGCCTAGGCGATCCCAAATTGCACCGCTCAGATGCAAGCTCTTGAGGACGTGAGACCGAGCGACTGCCTGGGTGACGCGCGGGCTAAGGACACCATGAGGATGTCTCGCTTCCAACTCATCGAAAGCAGCCTTGCGACGTTGCTCAGCCTTTTCGAGCGCCGTGAAGATCTGCGTCGGTATCCTGCAAGGGTACGGCACTACACTGTCGACGTAGGCAACAACCAGAACAGTGAATTCCCCAATGACAATCAACATAAGCCCGAACAGAGGAAGTCTGATCATATCATGTCGTACCCTCCAGAGAAGAACCCAATCTGCTCTGGAAAACGTCTTTGGGACGTAGTGCGGTCTGAAGATCGAGGGCCGGTCATCGACTGGAGTTCGCTGAAGCTTCTCGCGGAGGAGACGTCGGCTCGTCCAGACATTTTTTATGCCCCCCTTGTAGAATTTTAGATACCCCTTTCCCAGCTCGAAGTAGTATTTTATCGGTGACTCAAAGTCTCGGCGTCGAGGCAGCGTCAGCGGTGGTGGTCGCGTGACATCGGGGGGGTTGACCAGCGGATTCAAGCTCTTTGGACCGTCATTGTGGATGTGACGTGATGGGATTCGTAGCAAAGCTGGCGATTGTGCAAAGGAGATGGTCGCCAAGAGCGGCCAATGGCGTGTGTTTTGACTGCGCCCACAGAGTCGCCATGTTGCTCGAGAGCTCATGGTCAAGGAGTTTATGGTTGAGACAAGTCTAGGTATGCTGGGGATGGGCCCTGATGGCCAAGAGTCGGAAATTCCAGAATGCACTGCGTCATTGGCCAGGCCAATTTGGCTTTCTTCCCCTACCTACCTTAGGTCCGATCGATTTTCAGGAACCATCATCATAAAAGACAGTTTGGCTGCAGTTTCTCATTGGCTAGCCCACAGTCAGGAATAGTAATTTTGTCCTGGTATTGTATAAGTAGACTCCAATTTGGTTCTGTCTCCTATTTCTTTGTCTTCAAACTGTGTCCCTTCGTCCCTTCGTCCCTTCGTCCCATGAGTGCAGCTTATGTAGATATCAATTCACAGGTAACCTACCTACTATATATTCCTAGCCAAAGATAGTTCTCATCGCGTGGTAAATAACTGTCAGTGAATGACTTTCTTAACTTTTTCATCACACGTTTTACACTTATGGCTTTGCTTTGGGATCATCTTCCCCAGCTCAACAACTAGACTACCTTACCCTGAAGGTGTCGCACAATATTGAAAATGTAGTAAAATTTCTCGGAATAAGGGAAAATCAGATCTCCTCGACCAGCATGGCTCAAGTGAAGCCCTCGGAAAGCCGAATAATTCCATCAGAGCCTAGAAGACAATGGACCCGCAGATGCCTGTATTGTTGGAGAGTTTGAACCAGCTACCATAATGCCTATCGTTAATGATTATAACTTCAGCTTCACTTTTCAACATACCTCTTAC